GCCTCTGGTAGGCCCAGCCTTAGTGTCCCATATCCCAGGAAGAGCTGACCCTGTACATGTGAATATCAGTTACTACTGTGAGGAGTAAATAACGAGAACAGTTTTATCAGAGAGAATAAGAGAGCACATAATGTCTGCCTGTTACATTGATTTGAGTGCACCCTTAGAAAACTGAATGTAGATGATCAATCCTCACTCAGAAAGGCAAACCAGACAGACATCAGAAGAGGAAGAAAAAAGGGAACAGGCCAGGAGCCTACCACAGAGGGCCTCTGAAAGACTCTACCCAGTAGGGCCTCAAAGTAGATGCTGAGACTCATAGCCAAACTTTGGGCAGAGTGCAGGGAATCTTCTGGAAGAAGGGGGAGACAGAAAGACCTGGAGGGGACAGGAGCTCCACAAGGAGAGCAACAGAACCAAAAAATCTGGGCCCAGGGATCTTTCCTGAGACAGATACTCCAACCAAGGACCATGCATGGAGATAACCTAGAACCCTGCACAGATGTAGCCCATGGCAGTTCAGTGTCCAAGTGGGTACCCTAGTAAGGGGAACAGAGACTGTCTCTGACATGAACTCAGTGTTTGGCATTTTGATCACCTACCCCTGAACAGGCAGCAGCCTTACCAGGCCACAGAGGAGAACAGTGTAGCCAGTCCCCATGAGACCTGATAGGCTAGGGTCAGAGGGAAGGGAAGGTGGACCTTCCCTATCAGCAAACTAGGGGAGGGACATGGGAGGAGATGAGGGAGGGAGGGGGCTACAGTTGGGATACAAAGTATATAAACTGTAATTAATAAATAAATTTTTAAAAACTGAATGTAACACAAACCCAGGACAATTTTTTGGAAATTGTATGCGATTTTTTATACAAGCACTGTTTTATTATATAAAATAGAAAAAAAAAGGATACAAATCTAAGCAATTAGGTATACCTGTGAAATTATATGTTCCTATCCTACTAATACATTTATTTGCAAAAAAATAAAAATACTTCCTGTATACACCAGTAGGTGAAGTGAGGTTGCAATAACGGCTGAAATGGATGGTTACAATACAGAATCTAAGGACATTCCCCAATTTGCTCCTTTTGTCAGGGTGGGTAGCAGTGTTGAAACTTGGTTTCAACTAAATAACACAGGCTGCCCTCTACTTCATGATTCTCCTGCCTCACCTTTCCAGCTAGCTAGGATTACAGGCGTGTGTGTGTGTGTGTGTGTGTGTGTGTGTGTGTGTGTGTGTGTGTGTTTGTGTTTAAAATTCTATTGAACACAAGAGGAAAAAACATTTAGTGGCACTAATAAATTTGGTCTGTAAGTTTTATTCATTACTGGTGATATGCTTTGTGGGCAAATAATCCTCTTCCCAAACAGAATTTGCAAGGAGAAGAGACAGTGTCATGGAGTAAATGATATAATGGAGCAGAAGGAAAGTTAGTTAGACTAGTCCATGCTTCCTAAGTCGAGGCTCCACTCAGTGACTTGCAGAGTTTTCAGATTTCTTGCTGATCACCAGCACCTCACAGCCCCAACTTTCCTAGTCCAGCTTCTGTGGACCTCAAGTAACTACTTGCTCATCTGTCCAGTCATACGTAGATCAGCTCTTTTTACCTCTGTGACTGACCCCCAACCTTCAGGCCACCTGATGTTGTGTTAGGGAGTATTCATAAAGTAATGCACCTAAAATTATAGTCCTAATAAGCAATCAAACAATGAGATTGCACATGTAGTTGGGATGTTATTAACTAATCGTTAGTTTAAACAACAGTGTTGAAGATTATTAACAATGATCACTTAAATGATTGTTCAGTAAAAACAGGATGAAAGATTTGTGCATTACAGGTCACGTGCAAAGGAGTGTGTAGAATTGTTGTCCCAGAATGCATCCAGTTCAGGCAGCGTTGCCTGATTCTCCAGGATAGTTGTAAAATACAATATCCTCTAAAAGAGTTTGCTTCAGCAGAGGGGGTCAGGCTGGTAAGACAATTCAGCAGGTAAAGGTGCTGCCTGATCCCCTGAATGCAGTTCCCAGGATCCTCTCCAGTTACCTGAATTATATAAACAAATTAATTTTGTCTTAGTTATAAATTGATTTTGTTATATGGGAATGAATGTCTTATGGGCATGTATGCGTGTGCACCACATGGAAGCCTGGTGCCCCTGAATGTAAGAAGTTATCTAAGGAAGCCATTAACTAGAAGTCTTAGGAACTGTAAGAAAGATGCTGAAGTATAGCTCTTCAGTTGGTGGCTTCCGGCAGGGCATGGGGAAGGACTCAGTTTTCTTTACAGGACTGGCCACTGGGAGTTTGGCTATGTGCCAGTGACTGTATCAGCAACACAAATTGGACTTGGTAATTTTTTTTTCTTTTTCTTTTGTTTTGAGAGCGGTCACAAGGATGGGCGTGGACCTGGGAGGTCTGGGAAGTGGGTGTGACTGGCTTATTATGTGACATTTCCAAAGCATTAATAAAAACACGATGTTTTAAAAACAGGGGAGATCACTGTCTCCTAGAGTTATGGGTAGTTGTAAGCCACCATGTGGTACTAGGGCTCAAGTCGGGGTCCTCTGCCAGCACCTCTGAGCCACCTCTCCAGCATCAGTCAAGAGCATACACTTGACTGCTCCTCACCCTGCTCCTGAAGAGAGGCAGAGTTGAAGTCCCAGCACCCTCTTCTGCACTCCAAGGACGGCTGCACGCACCCCATCCTTTTACATGTCCATGGGTATTATTTTACCCTAAAATAATAAAAATGAATTTTAAAAACATCTTAATGATAGAATGGCGCATTATTTTTAAGTGAAAAACATTCTTTTTACGCTTTGTCAAATGAACCAAGTAATAACTGATCCTTAACCTTTTGCAAAAGATAGTTATAAAGTCTTCCCCAGGCTTTATTGTCGTTGTGTAACTGAACTCTGTGAAGTTCTTACAAGTCCATTATCCCTTATTGTCAATTCTCAAATCTAAAACCATTCTGAAAGTGATTCTTTTTGTAACTGATTTATCAGCAAAACCAGATGAGAACCAAAGTAAACGTATTTATTTATATTCTCTCTGCTGTGTGGAGCCCTCGCATGGCTTGCTCTGAGAACGTTAGCGATGTCTCTAGGCAGCATCCCTGTTGGGGATGATGATAGAAGCATGTTACCACCTTTCAAAGTGTTTTTAAATCTAATTGCAAAACATATAGCTCTGCCTCCAAGGGGCTAAGAAGGGATTGTGAACATGTGTAGGCACCAAATGGTTAGGGCAGGCTAGGGTGGCAGCATAACACTGGACAGTTGCTACTTTTGATAGATAAACTTAGTTCGTGTAAAGAAACAGCCGGAGCTGGATGTGGTGCACACCTTTAATCCTAGCACCACGGAGGCAGGGGCAAGTGGATCTCTGTGAGTTGGACGCTACCCTGGTCTGCAAATTGGGTTCTAGGACAGCCAGGGCTGATAGAGAAACCCTGTCTCAAAAAAACCAAAACATTCAAAAATCCAGCCTAAGATTACATGGTGATTCTTTTTATCCTTCGAGGTGATACTCTGTACTTAGGAGTTAAATATAGACAGTGTGACTGATTGCTCACATCTGTTTGATTTTTTTAAGTTTTATTTATTTATATATATGAGCACTCAGTTTGCATGTAAGCCTGCATGACAGGAGAGAACGTTAGATCTCACTATAGATCCACCATGCGGTTGCTGGGAATTGAACTCTGGACCTCTGGAAGAGCAGACAGTGCTCTTAACCACTGAGCCATCTCTCCAGCCCCATGTTTGATTGTTTTAAACCTTCAAAATAAGTGCTAAAATAAGTATAATCAGCTTCTGAATTAGAGATTGTATAAGTATATACATATGTGAAAGAGATTCGTAGGAACAATCTTGTACTTTTTCAGTAGGCTAGATAGCAAGAACAATCTTAATTTTCATTCCTCCACGCTGTGTGTGCATAATGGCACATGCCTTTGATCCCAGCACTGGGGAGGCAGAGCAAAGACAAGCTGATCTCTGTGAGCTCTGGGTCAGCCTGGTCTATATATTAAGGTCTTGGAAAGACAAAGAGGTGGGAAGGAGAGGGAGAGGATGAAAATGACTCATGTACTACTCATTTCAAGAAGCAAAGAGCAGTGATGCTGTTTTCACACTTTCCACAAGCTATTCATGGGAAGTAACTTAATTCTTTAATTACGATGGCTCGGACAGACCCACTTTCCAAGATCATGAAGAAATGCTTCTCAGTTTTTAAGGTTTATTTGTATGTGGCTGTTTTGCCTGCATGTGTGCTTGTGTGCCATGTGTCTGGTGCCCTCAGAGGTCAGAGAGTGTCAGGGCCTCTGGAGTTACTGACCTTTTTTTCTTTTTAAAGATTTATTTATTATGTATTATGTATATAGTATTCTACCTTCATGTACACTTGCACACCAGAGGAGGCACCAGATCTCATTATAGATGGTTGTGAGCCACCATGTGGTTGCTGGGAATTGAACTCAGAACCTTTGGAAGAGCAGCCAGTGTTCTTAACCTCTGAGCCATCTCTCCAGCCCAGTTACTGACCTTTGTGAGCCATCATATATGTGCTGGACATCAAACCCAAGTTCTCTGCAAGAGTAGTAAGTTCTTTAAATCTCTGAGCCAGCTCTCCAGTGCAAAAACAACAAACAAACAAACATTTTAACACAAATTTTTCTACTATTGTTAGGCTTACTGCAGCTGCTGTGCTCACTTGGATTCCTCCCTGTTTCTCTTGTTCTGTACAGATTACCAGCGCCTGATGACAGTGGCAGAGGGCATCACCACGCTCTTGTTCCCATTTCAGTGGCAGCATGTTTATGTACCCATCCTCCCTGCCTCTCTGCTACATTTTCTTGATGCCCCTGTCCCTTACCTGATGGGTCTTCAGTCAAAAGAAGGAACTGACCGGTCTAAGTTAGAACTTCCTCAAGAGGTAAAAACCTGTCGTTAAAGATGAAGAATGCTATTTGTTGGCTTAGGTCATGGCTTCTTTATTAAATACTGTCTTTGTCTAGTAGTTACATCTGAACCTCCCAGGTGCTGTGGGGTTAGGGCCTGAGCCCTACAGACTGTTTCTTCTGATATTTGCTATAACAGAACTACTAGTTAAATACACTTCAGAGAAGGACAGTAACAAGCTTTCACAACTATACATTTCTGAAGGTGGTTCAGTAATAGTATGGTATTAACACTTTATTATTCTAAAAGTACTTAACGGCTCTTCCACCCTCATGCTATAAATTTTGATGTTAAGTAGTATGTTTTCAGAGTTGTGTAGAGCAAGAGACCCCACAGAATTATTATATGTAGACAGGAATTAGTGTGACTCACAGGGTGTGGCCAGCTAGTCCAGTTGCTGTCTACCAACCAAAGTTCAAGAATTCACTAGTTGCTCAGTCCACAGGCTGAGTGTCAGGGCTGGCCTTCAGTGTGTGCCGGAACCCTGAAGGAGCG